TTTATGTACACCCTCTACAGTCATGATGATGTTTTACTGACTTCAGGACAGCTGATGGATGATGGATCAAAATGCATCTATATTTTACAGTTTTGTTTTCTACTTGCAAGCTTTCTGCCCATCCATCACACACATAGTCGTTGTCACTAAACATGTACAGTAGATTGTGAAAGTCATGTGGCTGTGTTCAGATCTGTGTTATCCACACAGGATGGAGCAGCTTCTGATGCACAGGCCTCACATTGTTTCTCTGAGATTCTGTTTGATAAGAGAAGATGCATACTAGAGAAATGAACATGAACCTAAGCCTCTTCCTAACTGACTGTGTGTAAACTGCTCTGTGTTCAGCACAGAAAACAACCAAGCAAGAGTAAAGACAGACAGAAGAATGGGCTGTGGAAAACTGGAAGACAGACAAAAAATTTGAAACAAAGAGGAGTGAATGAAAGCTGTGAGTAAATGTGTTGGAGGGATAAATGATGTGATGAAAGCTTGAAAGAGAGGAGGAAAAGTGAGCCTCCATCCATCCATCCATTCATCCATCCAGTCTGTGTTCCAGTATCCATCCATTCTCCTGGGCTCATCCCAAAACACAGCTAACATTATTCAGTCCCATTATCCCACAGACTTATGAGCACCGCCATGACAAATGATCCAACATGTACAACGTTCAACAATGCTCTCTGTAATTATTAATTCCTCTTCCCTGACTCTTTGTTCTTTTCTTCACATCAACACACTTCCTAAACCTCTGTCTATAGAAGGTGTCCAGCCAAGTGTGTCACAAATTGCAAAGAAACAGCAAGGGAGGGAGGGAGGGGGTTGGTGGGACGTCACACTCTGAAAAGATGTCTCCCAATTCTCTATTTTGTATTTATTCACTTTCATAGCTGTGCACAGAGACAGATGTTTCCTTAGTGTGGACAAACCATATGACACCTCAGATGTTTCTTCATATGATCACCCTAATCAGTTCTGACTCTAAGTACCTAAGTAAGCTAACTCTGTCTCCGGCTGATGTGGTAAAGTTTCCAGCTGACTACAGGATTTTTTAAATTACACATGATGGCTATAGCATTAATTATCAGTGTTTCTAATTAAATCATTGTAATATTTAATAAGTAGCTGGTTGTGAAAAGTTTTTTTTTTTTTTTTTCAAATATTACCTTACTACTGTAGGCAGTAGGATAATCAACTGACATAATGATAGCAGCTTATGTTAGATCAGATGAACAAAGTTTGATGTGTTCTACAGTTCTTTGTGTAAAACTCTTTAGAAAAGCTGTCCTCACAGTACCATGCTGACCAAACAGCCCTGACCTGTCTAGTCACAGTTGCTAGGCTGTGATTGGACAGTTTGAGGTTTTCCTACATTCAGGACATGGACTATTTGTCGAGTGTGGACTAAGTACTGGTATATTTAACACTCTCCCTGTATTACACTATGCTTGTCATGGTTTGCCCTGATGGACAATGTGTATATAAGCTTTTGGACTCTTACAGTTGGACATTTGTTTCATTTCCTGTTTTATTTCATAATTACTTCCCTTGTGTGTCTTGTAGCTGTTTAATTCCTGTCTCTCACCTTCCCTCCTTGTAGATTGTTTGCCCTCTTGTTTTTTTCATTATCTAAATAAACTTTGATTCAGTCATCTGCATTTAGGTCCTTGGAAGTCTCACTCCTGATCTTTGTTCTGCTCACACATGGACTCATCTCCACTTCTGTTTAAGTCCTCTTATGAAGATGCTGAGGAAACGTGTGTCTGTGTGAATTATATGTACCAGTTCTGACTGTTATCAGTCCAGACTCTCTCGCTGGCTTGTTGGTGATAAAAGTTTTAAATCCTGAAAATAAAGCTGCTGGTGTTAACAACTCACACTTGACCTTTTATGGGCTGGAATCACCACGATGCTCTGATGTTACTAAATGTTGGTGTGAAATAGACTCACCACAGCCCTCAAGAGTAAAAGCCTTAACATCTGTGAACTAAAACTACACAAATGCAATGGTGAAGTCACAACTTTCTGCTCTAGGAGGTTTTGTCTTTCAGAGGCTTTATCAGGATAATAAAGTTAAAACAAACTGTGAGGTGGGTTTTATGGGAACTCTCCAGAAGGAGCCTAATGTAATGACCTGACTAAACAAGGAAACAGCTGAGACACTGCATCAGGAAGAACCAAGCGTTTGAAATCTACTTTCCTTCTACAACCCTTTGATCAGAGACACACCGTACACTGTATTCACACATTTATCTAGTTGTGTCTCATAAACTTATCTTTCAGTGTAAACCAGAATTGGCCCAGAGAATCCGTGGGGTGTGGGAGGGTTTTAATCAACAGCCTGAAGGGGCTGCTTACCCACTTTCATTAATTTCATTATCTCACTATCAAAGGAGTTTTTGAAGCTCCTGTAGGGACCAGTTTCTAGTGTTTCAGAGGTATTTCCATGTCACAACAATAACAGGGAGTGAAAAACATTACAGCTTGAAAATATAGTTTTCATCCACAAATCAATTGAAACCAATTTCTTGAAAGGAAAGACAAATTAAATGAAAAGTGATTATTATTATTATTATTATTATTATTATTATGTCAGTCATTTTTATTATGGCTGATTGTGGGTGTCATCTCTCTGTCATGTTCATGTTTGCAGCTAAGTCTGTAACATACAGAACCAAGTAAAGATCCATTATCTTCACACTGTTTAGGTGTCTAGCAACCATAGCTAGCATCATAGCCACAGGTGCAAGTAAGGTCACAGTGATTGTCGCATGGTCACATGACCCTGTTCACTGTTGTGAAAACAGTCACGTCATTGTGTGGGACACAGGTGGAGCTGTTAATTCTGAAGCATGATGGAGGTCACACATATTTATTAGCAGCACATGTTCCACAACACATCTCTCAGCGGCTGAGCTTCCATCAGTTTGCTGTCATTTTGCCATAACACATTAACAAGGCTCCAGTTAAATCAGGTGATCAGACAAACTGCATGTGTGGTCATGAACACTTGAAACATGTAGCTGCATCTCACTTACTATTAAAATCATCAAGAACACAAAGGGCTGAATTGGTAGTAGCGATTCAGACTGTCATATGTTAATCTGTCTATTCTGTAAAGGTCCATGCAAACTGCAGCTTTAATTTACTCCCCTTCATGAAACTTGTCAGGAGTGTCACTGCTGCTGCCTCCTTCACCTGCCACAGCTTCATACCCCACAGTACTATCATCAGCTACATGAAAACTCCTGTCTTCATCTCCTGCCTGCAAGTAACAGGCCTCAACAGGAATACTGCATATAAGAAGTCACAAATCCACAGATGAAAAGGAGTTTTACTGTTTATATTTGAGCAGGAGCAAAATAAATGAGCAAGACTCTTTTTGGTGGAGGGAACTTCTGAGAGGCCTGCGAAACAGGATTTGTTGTTAGAATTAGGGGTGGGAATGATGGTACTATAGTATCAAAATGTGATGCCCACATAATGGTGGTATCAGGATACAGTGATTCTGCAATACACAGGGTTTAAACAATGATAAAGATACAAACACATAAATGGTTAGTGAGTGGACAGAGCCACAGGACCGAACTGAACTTAGTTTTCTGGGGAGACGGCCACAGAGAACCAGTGGGCCACACAGTCTGCTCCATTGGGCTGATCACCACACAGTGCTATCGATCCATCTTCCTCTTGCTCTTTCTCGCTCGCTCCTTCTCTCACCTTGGCAGACCAATATCCATCTCGGCTCACCAGGAATTGTGTCGTTTCTCTGGATTAGCCACTCCATACTCTGCTCTGCTCATATTCTAGAGCAGGGGTATTCAATTAAAATTCAAAGAAGTCCAGTTAGAGAAAATTTCCTCAAGGTCCGGAACTTCATAATGTCTAACATGGGTTATGATTCAGTGCCATATATTTTGAAGTAGCGTAGTAGTTGTATCAACGACAGTATGTAGTGAACAACTGACTATCAAATAAAATAAAGAAAATACATTTCAATAGTATTTCAGCAATGTTTAATTATTAATTTTCACATTGAACTGGAGGGTAATCTTATAATAAAATAATAACAAAATAAATGTTCTTTTCTCGTTTCAAATAAAATAAGGGTTGCATTTAAAAATAAAATAGAGCTTTTGAAAAAGGCATCTTAAAATAAAGTGCCTAATTTTAGAAAAATTAATAAAAAGGTAGTTTTTATTTTTTCTTAACAACATTTCACATATAAACTATCTCCACAAATATTAACAACTAAACAGCTTTAACAGCTCCTTTTCTCTTTGATCCCCACTTTCCCCACCCCACTTTCTCTTGTTCAGTGAGAGAAGTAAGCTCTACGTTGTGCTGCCAGGATTTTAAATCTGGGCTGAAATGGCGTTAGGACCATTCTAGTACACATGTGATCCTGGAGCGATATTTAGTTTTAATAATGTTTTCACACACACCCACTCGCTCCACTCGCAACATTGTTCTGAATAAATTATTTTATTGGCTGAATAGCGTCACGTGGGATGAGTTACAATGCACACGATTGGTCTGTGCATTTCCTGTGTACATACATTGACTACTGTTATCACTAGAAAGCTACGCATGTTAAAATAGAAACGGTCCGTCTAAATAATAACAGGTCTGGGTCCCTATAGAACGCCGTCTTGGGCGGCACGGGCGATCCCAGCTAAAAAAATGTTTAACATTTGCGCGATCGGTTTTCTATCGGTCATGTGCATGTAATAACCTGATCTTAATCAGTTATTTTGTATTTTGTCTCTCATTTAAAATATGTGAATTGTTGACAGGTGCATAATTTCTATTCAGTTGGGTCAAGTTGCATCTAAAAGATTTGTCAAGCATTATCCATATATTACTCTGTTTAAATAGTGATTTGAAAACATACAGTTAAAATGTATAAGTTACTTTTAAAAATGGTTCAGTTCATTACCAAAAGAAAAGCATAACAGTAATTTTCATTTATTCTGGAGAATTAATGACCTGGATGTTTTTGTCTTCCGGTTGACCTTTGTGTGTTCACGTGGGGGATACGGAAAAAAAGACACAGAGGAGAAAAAAACGGACGATGGGCTAGAGAAGAGCTGCATTTGTGGGAGAGTCATTGCCGACGTTTTTGGTTATTGTGGTTTTCATGTTGGACTGTGTAAATCTTGCTACTGAAGAAAAAGCTCGGAGTTGACTTTACCAGAGTTGGGACAGTTTATTAATAACGTGTTTTTCCTGCTACCGAGAGCGTGGAGTTAGCCACGTTAGCTCATTACAGCTGCCGCCGTCGAGGGAGAGCGGTCGGACATCGCTTCACCTGCACAGACGAGAGGAGGAGACTGGTCGGGAGGAGCTGCAGCGGCCGTCGCGGACGTTTTGCTGAGGCTGGAGACCATCTGCTTGCTGTCTGCTGCTGTTGGGAGTGTGCATGCTGCTGCTAACCATTGCGGGCTAAGCCAGGCCTGACGAGGAGGATTTTCACGGAGGTGGTAGGAGCTGTTTCATCTCTTCTAATGGAGGTAAACAGTACTGCGTCCTGGTTTTCATGAGCTCCAACATAAAGCGCGCCAACAAACTAATGCAAGCTTGGTAAAAGACAGATAAAAAATAAAATCCCGGGTCAATTTTATTTTGGGGTTTTCCTATTTATTTTCCATACAATGTTTCTTATTTTCTAATGTGGAAGATTTATTGTGTCCCTTAATACAAAACTGAGAGATTGAAAAACCGTGTTGTGCTATCATTTGTCAATTCGTACAGTGAGTATCTGAGTAAGATAATCCATACGTTTTGCAGTAATCTTATTTGGTTGTCAAAGACAGGGTTATTCCCTCAGCCTCTCATTGGGTATTATAAAAGAGTGAGAATCATTGTTTCCCCTAGACATGTTAACTATACAATGAGATGTCCCGTTCGCCACTTAATTGATTATTGGAGATAAAAGGAGGTGAATGCTATAATAAATAGATCTGAAAGCGTTCCACATATCACGAGCCGGTGGCGAAAGGGTTACATGCACATCACGTCAATGACATTAATATGTTACCGTGTCGGAGCAGGCGCCTTTTCTAGTTTGTGTAGGTTTCTGCTTGCTGACAAGTCTCCTCTCTCACTGCCAGAGGTGCATGGTGGGAGGTGAGGGGCGGGGGGTGGTATGACCAATAGGTATGACCACAGGTCTCCCCACTGTATCACTTCTATCTCTGTACAGTACTAAAAAACACGAGGAAAAGCTACCAAATAAACTACAATTCATTGTTGCTGCAACAATGTCAAGGTTTCAATGTGCTTTCGTATGATATCAACCTACAACAGAGACTGACTGACACACAAAAGCTTTGTTCTTGTATTTATAAGATAGGCTATGACAATAAGCCTATACTTACTTATTTGTTCATATTTATTTTTCATTTGAACCCAAGTTTGACACCGCCAGGCTGCAGCACATTAATTTGATGTAATACACAAGTGCAATTACAGTCAGATCTATAGCTGCTTTTTATCCTGGATCATGTGTTTAATTTCTTTGTATTTGTCTATTAATATAGTTTGCTCCTTGTTTGTAAAATATGCTGCTCTGGTGACAGTTGAGGTTGGGTTGACTTACCAAGTTGATAACCATCTACGAGTGATTGCTTAGCATAACTTTGGTCGTTAGGCTCAGTGAAGACAGATAAAGAAAAGATATTGATATGTTGAACCTACTGACTGCAGGTCTCTAAAAAAAGATTCTTTGATGAGTCCCTATGAGTCGAACGTAGGTTTTATACTCTGTTCAAACTCCAGGTCAGATGGTTGGAAAGCTTCAGAAACCCCCTACACCTGCATCCTCCTGACATCAGGTGAGTGTGTGCGTGTGTGTGTGTGCGTGCGTGTGTGTGTTTGTGGTTGTGTGTGGTGGAGGGGAGTCTTCAAGAGACACAGTGTCTGAACCCATCCAAATTTTACTGCCTCCCACTAACACCACCTTTTTTTTACCTCCACCTTCCATTGTAGACGACAACATCTAAAAACACATTTGAACTGATTTTGAGAGACCAGCTTAAATGGACCACAGTGCTCTGAGCTAAATGCTAATTTCAGGACACTAACATGGTCACAGTGGCAATGCTAACATGCTAATGTTTAGCAGGTATAATGATCACCATGTTAGAGTGTGCATAACTAACATTTGCTGATTAACAGTAAACAGCGTCCAGCTTAGGCTGATGTGAATGTCACTAATTTTACATATTATAGGTTTAAAATCATAGAATCTTTTTTTAAAAATCAATCTCCTCTCAACTTTCCAAATGTTATTGGACCAAATGGATAAAATTCTGATTATGTTAAGTTATTTCACTGGGTTTGTGATGCTCAGAATTATATTATATTATCCCTTTTCAGCCGCTGCTTTTCCAATGACTGCGTGGTGCGGGAAATGCTTTTTGAGACACTCTGCAGTTTTCATCACCATCCATCACCATGTTTTTTCTGTACCTACTGCACAGCTGAGACAGAGACATAAAGATGGAGAACTGCTCTGTGTTATGGTGATAAGAAAGATGTTTGAATTGTTGACATGTTTCTATACATTTATTTATTTGACTGTGTCTGTCTTGACTCACTGCTCATAAACCCACAGTTATGGTTCACAGGATGCAGTTCTCTGTGTGTGATCAGCCTCAACGGAGCCATCACCTGTGGGTCTGTAACATCCACCCAGGTTCCACATAATTATGACAGATGCTTGGCAGTCTAACCCTGATGTGATTACTCCTCAGTCCTCACATTCTGCAGCAGCCAGCCTCATGCTGCCTTTACTCACGAAACAATGCAAATGTCTTGCTACCCAGAGGCATCAGCAGTAATGCATATCATGATAACAGCCATTTTTTATTTTATGTACCTACAGCACCATTTGTCTTCAGGGACCATACAATACACACCACTATACTGTCACAGTGCATTTCAGGTTATCTCACATGGCCCTCACGCTTGCCCAGTTTGATTTGGATTATTTTCCTCTAATAGATCCCAGAGGACACAAGCATCATGAAGAGAAGTAACTGGATTAAAGGGATTCTTGCTGGATCCATTGAGACTGCTGCGTGTTGCTCAGTCAAAAACAAGAAGCATTAGGGGAGAGGATTAGGAAAGAGGATGCTGTGTACAGGAGGGAAGGGGGAGACATGGGGAAAGAGAGGAGGTGTGGAAGTACAGGAGAGAGGGGAAATCAGAGAGAGATCAGCAGGGAGATCAGAGGATTGAAAGACAGAAAGAAAGGGGAAAGACAGAGAGAGAGAAGAATGGAAGGAAGGGTAATTATGGGGATGGGAATAATGTAAGGTATTTGGTGAGAGGTGAAGGAGGAAGAGGATGCCCTCCACATGAGGCAGCTGAGGTAAGCTATATTGGCTTATCATAAACACTGACACACAATAAGGAGAAATCACATGTGGATGGCATTATGGCCTTTGCTTGGTGAAAATGTAACTGAATCACCTGGCATCACAAAACAATCTCAACCAGTCAAATGGTGAGAAAATGAGGGTCAGGTCATGATCTACAAATAACCACAAAATGATGATTAGTGTGTAATGGTGGTTCATTTGTTATAGATAGATAGATCGATAGATCTTACAATGGGATCACACCAGCTGCACGCCCATCAACATCAATGTTGATATTCAGACCCATGAGTACTCAAAAGTTATTACAATATTATAGAGTGCTCAGTACTCATGGGTCTGACATCACTGATCTCGGAACTCAACCTTTGTTTTGATCTCGACTACATACCTTTAAAGTTTTTTGGCAGGCTGTGATGCAATTGTGGTCAAACAAACAAACAAACAAACAGACAGACAGACAGACATACACCTGCCAAAGAGGCATGCTGGTATTTTTTACACAAGGTGAAAAGAATACCAGTTCTGTTTTTCCTCTTATAAAACAGCTGGATCAGCAGTTCAGGGAAACAGCTGCCTACTTATCTCCTATTCGTCATCCTCCCTTAGAAAAAATTTAAATGCACCAATGTTGAGGTTGACATGTTGATATATGATGGAGCTCAGTCACAATAAAAATGCATGGAATCAGACAGTATTATAAACTATCCAGTGGCAGCCATTCATTATTAATACAACTTCTCCACCATGCAGTGATCATTGTTGTGCAAAACTATGGTGAAATGCATAAGGATACAGGTACAATGGGAAGTGTAACATTAGAGTGCACACATGCCTGCACAACATGTACCAGCCACGTACCTACGTGTTGTGCCTCTTGATATCAAACCACTGCCAGGCTCTGTGTTGTACAGCTGACATTACAAATTGGCAAAACATGAAGCTACTATTTGAAATCCCACAACTACAAGACCTGATGATGGCTGAGCAGTGTGTAACATCAGCAGGTACCTGTAGCATTAACGCCATAATTTAGAATTTACTCTCGTTGAAATGGGGCACCAGTCCTCTGGGAGGACAACAATGAATTACTTCATTGATAAATTTATCAATCTCATATCAGAAGCCATGACTTCCCGATTCAATGGATCTCCAGTCTCTACGTCAAAAGAACACAACAGGACAACAACTGGGTGTAAATAAAGGAGTTTATTAACTAAGCTACTATCTACAGAGTAAATGCAAGGTGTAATAATCAAAAAGATGAAAATAATAATGAAATGAGCGGTGTGATGAGTTGGCAATGGTGGGAGAGAATATGTTATGGCTATAGACTGTGGCTATACAGTTAATGATACTATGTCTACAAATCAGATTTGATGATTAAATATTACTATATTTCGACATCAACCCAGTCATGAGCAGAGTGTTAAGCTGTAGCTGACGACCCTTGGCTGGAACCCAGGTGACTGTGGTTGCCGTGGTAACCCTGGAGACACGGGATCTAGGTGGATTCTCTTGGAGGCTGTGTCCCGTTATCACGATGACGGATTCTGCCGGTGTCTCAGCGATTCAGCTCTTGTGGAGTTTGCCAGGAGACTTTCTGTCTCAGGCACTCTTGATTTCTGGTCGGCTTCTCTGCCGGCGGTCATGCATGGGCAGTGGGAATGTGTTATCTGCTGGTGCCTCTTGTGGGTTGATGCAAATTAAACTGTAATGCACTTCACTTTGGCTGGATAACTTTAGAGGAGACTGGCGTTGACCAGATGACTCTAAAGTTGTCAAAAATCTTCAAAAAGGAAAACTTGACGATGATTAAAAGTTACAAAATTATTCTGAGGCACTTCTGTTGTTTTGGTTCAGTTGGTTGAATTGGCTTATAAAATTAAAAGATTGCGCATGTAGACAAAAACTTACTTATGGCTTAAGAGCCATGAGTTTGTGGCTAGCAGCTTAGAGCTAAGAACCAGGCTGTTGGTAAGAGCCTGGACTACAGAAATTTCAGTTTCTAGCTTTGTAGCCTTCTCTAGCTTCTCCCAGTTTCTTAGCAATGTGTGAATTGATCACGACTGTTTTATCCCATGGGGGGCTGGCACATGTTTCAGGGGCATCACTCATCTTCTCCTGTGTTTCCACTTGGAGAAGAGAGTAATATTCCACTGAACTTTGGAATAATTTAATTCTAGAGTGTACTTATAAACTCAAACATCCGTCTTCCACCATGACAACAAAACATTAAGTGAAATAACATATAAAACTACTTGCACTAATAATGGCAGAGAGGAGTAATAGGAGTGTTGATTTCATATTACATCCTTCAAACCTGGAATTAATCATAATACAAGTGGTTAATTGATCAAACAACAATATAAACATTTCCCAAAGCTAATAGTCTATAAATGTGGATTACACAGCAGTTCTTTGACTGTAATAATAATAATATGGACAATCTGGATGTCATGTAGTGTGTGTTACCGCGTGTGAAGGATGCTGACAGTATGGTCACATGAAGGACATTGTCTTAAAGTCTACATGTTACATTTAAAACACTCTATAGGATAGAAGTTTGGGATTGAACTATTACATAGAAAAATCTCATGAGTTACAGAACAGTCAGCTATTAAATTATTTATTCTTCCTCAGATCTGTGTCTGTGAAGAGTGTTCTGCTGGTCACTACCCAGGATTGGAATGTGGGTTGTAGTTTATGACTCTTATCTAGAGAGGGACAGAGGAGGGGGGTTGGTGTGTGCGTCAGTGTGTGTGTGTGTTCATGCATGGCAGAGACAGGCCAAGATTCACACCTTAGTGATACTCAGTCCTTTTGGTGTTATTTGTCCTATATAAGAAACAATCAAACATCAATAGACAGAGTCTTAGGCCAAGATTCACACCTTAGTGATACTCAGTCCTTTTGGTGTTATTTGTCCTATATAAGAAACAATCAAACATCAATAGACAGAGTCTTATTGTTACAAACTGGAGATTTTGCCTATGCTCTCTAGTTACCTGGTGTCCCTTCATTGATCCTCTGGAGCTGACCCTTTGACCCTTGGTCTGATTCTGTGTCTCTCTGACATGCTAAAAGCATGGTCTGTTTGTGAGAGAAGGGTCCTTTGTCTCTGTTTCCTATCAATTTGATAGTTTGATGGTGGGAAGAGTAACAAAGTGTCAATTGTGGGTCCGTAACTCTGCATGTCCTTACAATGAACTTCTTTAATGCCTTGTGACTGATGCCAGGCCAGGTATGTAAGCTACATACCTCTGCTCCAAATCGGGTGAAACTACCAAAAGATTTGTATAACAAGCTCCTGATGTTCCCTCGTATCAGTGCTCTTCCTCCAGGAAGGCGTCCACTGAAATGGCTTTGGATTTAATTGCAACAGTGATTATCAATCAGCTCTGTGGATACATTGATTTCTGCATCCTCCATCCATCTACAAATAATTACACATTCAATACACATACAATACATTCTGCTCTTTCCCAGGTCACTGAAACCTTGTCATTACAGAGAGCAAGAGTTTGCATTAGCCAGTCCCTCTAGGACTTCACAGGCTTTCTTTGGGATTGTTGTAGCCTAAAATATTTGATTTCATGGCAGCTTTTCTTAAAAGATGAATGCTGTGATGCCTATATAATAGTTTCATCACAAGTGAATGATGTAAGAAAGGATGTTTTCTGTCTTTTCATCTTTACTAATTAACAATTTTATTCACTGAGCAGCTCAGAGGCTATCTGTAGCTACCAGTGTCTTTTAAGGTGGAATGTTTTGTTTGTGTAATTTTTGTTGGTAAATGTGAGAAGTTCATGTCATACACTCTGCAGCTCCACAACAGGAGGAACAACAAGGAAGTGAGTTTGGTGATGTACATCAAGGTTTTGCGCAGGGACTGGTAGAGTCTAGGTCTGACAGAGGCTCAAATGCAAGGGATATTTGCATATTCATAATTGCATTTGCATATGAATGGGAATATTTGAGTGAATTCATTAGATAATTCAGTGTGCCCTTCCAGCGCCTAGTTTCCAAGACGACTGATTTAGGCATGCTAGTGTCACAGGGCGATTGTGTGTGCGTGCGTGCGTGTCTGACCCTGGTGGAGACTTCCTGTGCTTTTGCGGGGTTAATTTAACCCGAGA